GTTATCTAACCAGAAAATCTATGAGTCGCAATTAAAATCCTCTCCACTTGAGAGGTAACCTATTTCACTGTAGCTCTCAGTATGTCATTTTAATTCTGTCCATGAAATAGAAATAAGGAGGTGTTCATGTTTGGCTTCCCGTGTTTCCAGAGCTATTCATGCTACTAGTGATGCCAGCAGGTGTCTGGGGACGACTCGAGGTATCAAACTCAGATACGTTGGGCCGTTGGGATGAGAACATCGATGTCTATTAAGGATGATTGTGAGGACACGACTATTCATTTCTCTGGATTGTGAGTTAATGGGGGGATTCTGTTGGTTGTCTTAGCTGTTCAATCACTCCAGTGGTGATTTTTCACGGCTTAGAAGAACTCGCTCATTTCTCTCTTGCTCAACATCCTGGATCTTATCATGCTGCAGGTGATGAGCCTGGAACAAACAGCGGCAGTGTGACCACATTTGACCTGTCGTGGCTCCGCACACACACACACACACACACACACACACACACACACACACACACACACACACACACACACACACACACACACACACACACACACACACACACACACACACACACACACACACACACACACACACACAGAGAGAGAGAGAAATATACACAGATACATGGTCCGTAATTGATTGAGCGGTATCCAGTGTGTGAATATATGGATTAGGTCTTTCTCAGCTTTATGTCAGAGCAGAGCAGATGGTGCAGGTGCTCATGATGGATTCCTGCCTAACCAGCTGACACCCAGAAGCAGAAGTTTGGGAATCTTTTAGCTTCTGTGGCATCTAGAATTGGTCATTTTTCATGTACAGTTTGACTTCTTCAGTATCCGGTCATATGGAGACAGGAGTCTACATTTGTTGCCTTTAATCTGCCGGATCCTTCCATTCCATCAGCTGGAGTCCGGGCCTCTGCAGCTCTGAACACATGATAACATATTGTCAACAAACTGTTTCATTTTCAAGGTCTTAACCCTTTAGGCGCCATAGTTTTTTCAGTAAAATATGAATTTTTTATATCACTATTTAAAGAGCTTGTAGCTTAAATCTGGTTAGAGATAGAGGAATATTGTAAATTAGAAAAATCTTCAGTATCAGTATATATATATATATATATATATATATATATATATATATATATATATATATATATATATATATATATATATATATATATATATATATATAAAATCCTCAGTCTCAGGCTTTTCCACAAGCCCCATGCAGAACTGAATGGCAATGAACACTTTCATTTCTGGGACAGTTACATCTTCCCAGTCATTATATCTGGAGCTAGATTTCAGTTCCTCCCTCTCTAAATACTGGTGAGCATATCGGGTAGTTTCAGTTGTGATGAGGGTCCAGAACTCCTCATCCAAAAAAACTGACACAAAATCAATGAGTTCTGAATTTGACAGATCCCTGTCTCCACAGTATCCAGCTGGCTCATCAAAATGCCTGATCCACTTTGAATACTGTTTTTCTCCCAAACTAACCCAGCCATCATCATTATTATTGTCACTGAGGCTGTGTTGGGCCACCCCCCTGCTAGCAGTGATTTTTTTCCCGCGGTTCCTCCCCCTCCTGCTGCATTTCCCGCGGTTTACACCCCCGGGGCTGAATCGATCACCGGCGGAGTTTTCACCGTCCCGATCACCGCCACCACAACAGTCACTTTATTAGATGTGGGGTTTTTTGGTACATATTATAAAGTTATAATAAAGATAACATCACAATTTTAAGAATTATTAACCTGTAATTCAATACCAAGGATTTAAAATCCAAAGATGAAAAGTACAAACTAGTTAGCGCTGGCTTTGTCTCTGAAATGTGCAAGAAAACCAAACTATAAAAAAAGAAAACACCATCAACCTGTAATTAAGAGCAAAATGGAGTTTTTCCTTTGTAGACATATATAACTATATAACGTTGGTTTAGAGGTGGCAAGCGCATGAAGAGGTGGAGGAGGATGAGAGACAAATGTGTCTGTTAAAAAGTCTCTTATATACAAAAAACACAATATAAACACACTATTTTGGACCGGATACATGACAGGATACCTCAGAACAGCGTTACGCCCTCTGTTGTCCTGGTGGGGAATTGCTTTGCAACACTCCCCAGGAGACGGAGAAGTATGAGGGCAAAACATCTCCATCCGTGCGTGCGGGTCTCTCCCTGTTAGAGCTGACGGAGAAGCATGAATCAGGCTTTAGTCACATGAAAACAGCTAGAGACAGGAAGTGATCAGGCTTAAGCTCTGTTATATCTTAGGCCCAGTTCACATCAGACAATTATCATGATTTTGACGGGATTCTCTCCTTCCGGGAATCTTGTCAGACATTCCTACCGTTGGTTATTATGCTTTGGCCTGCTGAGATTAGAAAGACGTCAGGATTGCTCTCATAAATCGATGTTGGATTATCTTGGTCTTAGTTTCGAGGACAAAAACGCATGTTGCCTCTTGAATGTAATGTGTGGCCAGTCAGAAAGTGAGGCAACAGAAGCGTGCTGCAGGCTCCTCTTCTGCCATGTTGGTTTAGTCTGAAGTCAAGAGGTTTTGTGGGATAACCCATCAGACCAGGACATGTTCACATATGAAATTTGTTCATATGTAATGTGTAGCTTCTGCATGTGACTGGATACCATCCACTGTAGAACCAAAACAGACATATCTGTGATTTTTCATCACCTCGTGTGGGATCGCTGATGTTTGGAAAATCACCTAACATATTAATAATCCTAAAATGTGAACCAGGCTTTAGCTAAATCGTGTAGCCTCTGAGTGGCATAAACAGAGATGACTGCAAACACCTACCATCTGTTTGCCTGCAGAGTGGCCCTTCTTTGATCCCGCCCAAACGACCAAGAGAGCACGACGACTGGTGTAGAGCTGCAGCTAATGCACGGTGATGGCTCCTGCACTGTGAATGGAAAAGCCATGAATACAAAGTGTTGGTTTGGACCCTCCTTTGTGCTAAGCTGACAGCTGCTGGGTTGAGTGATTGCTGTACAGCAGGACCTGATCGCGCTGTCACTCCGGTTGGCTTCCTCGCTGCTAAAAAAACCCTCTTCCAGCTATTTCTGGTCTCCATCACACGTCTCTAATCTCATTCTCCACACCACCTGCGTGCTGATTGCAGTGGGCTCGGGCTGCTATATTCAATCTGAAGAAAAACAAACTCCCCTTGGACTAATGCTATTTCTATGCTGATGCGAGCCTCTGGTTAATTTCCATTTGAAGTCATGGAGCTGCTCTCTGCCCTGAGCGGCAGTAAAGGAGGAGGAAGGAGAGTCATTTCTAAAAGTTATCAAATAGCAATAAAAGATAATTTAACTTTAATTACGTTTCAGCAAAATCATAGTCAAACCTTTGATTTTTCACGTTGAATGTGATGCAGAAACACGAATAGACCTGTAGTCATGTAGGCAGCTGTGTATATTTGCATACAGAGTGGAAAATGAGATCTGATAAGTGGTCATATGAGACGCACCAGGAGATGTTATGCATGCTCTAAAGTTCCTACTTACAGTTGGTTCATTAAAGTGTGTTAGTCCCAGATGTGCTGAGAGCCACAGATGAGAAGTCTGAGAAGCTTCAGCCAGGTGGTTCGGTTTTATGTGGTTCTAGTGAGAGAAACTGGGACACAAAAAGGATGTTTGGTGACTAAGTCACTCAAAGATTTGAGACATTTTTTAATTCCTTTTTCTGTTTCACAGAGAAATGTCGATACATACTTCATCCATGCTAATGTCTGCCGGGCTCGTGTCAGCCATGGCTCAGCTGGTGTCCACCTTTCATTGTCATCTTCCTTTGTCACTGCTGCTCATTACAGCTCATTATCACAGCCGGACATGGGATTCAAAATGATCGAAAACATCAGCTCTCACCGAGGACCCTGTGGTCCTGCAGAGCTGCACCCCGACAGTCTGCAGAATAAAACAGGACTTGTTTTATCAGGCTGCTAGCAGCTGTCACTGCACTCGCTGTAGCAGTGCTGTTCCCTAAACGGAGGGAACGTAAGCCAATGTCGCATGCATGAATATTATTGGCCTGCTGTGATTTTACTGAAATTAAACTTAGACTGAAATTACATCACAATCTGTTTCGCTGCTCCTCGGCTGCACCCACCGACAGCCAGAGCACAGCGGAAATTTCAACCTGTCAGATCACAGGGAACAACTCTCCTGAGTGACACTGGCGGTCATTTATTCTGTGGGCCTCTGCAGTGGTTCACAGTTCCCTGTCTGTGTCAGCTCATTTAGAGCTGCCCCACACATCCCCTCGCTGGCCTTCAGATTAAAACACAACATGCTGTTCAGGCCCGCCGGGGGGGCAGAGGGCGACGGTGAGTCATCGGGGTGTACATCGTTTCAAAGCTGCAGAAATCCTTGATTCTTTCTTTTAACTTCCATGTCTTCAGGTACACAGAGGAGGAGATCCGACAGAAAGTGAGCACCTTCAGGCAGATGCTGATGGACAAAGAGGGTGTCATCACCAGGGAGGACTCTCACACACAGTAAGTTCACTTAACTCTGATCAGATCTGTCTGTAGCTGCTGTGTGTTCAAGTCTGTACCATTTAAGTCTGGTTCCGCCGTTATGAAATCTGAAGGCAAATATTTAAAACGATAAAAAAAAGTGGCTGAGATTTTCCAAGAGCTGATGGAGGCTTCACTTCTCCTCCTTAATCTGTCCTTCATATTTACACAAACTGTTCCCTTTTGCATTCCTTCCCCTCTCATGCAAATAACCACTTCTTTCTTTGTTTTACGTTGTTAAAGTTTACTTGCAGTTAGCATCGCTAAAGATTCTGTATCCTTTATGACAAATTAGTTACAAAACTGCCTCAGCTCCCAGAATCCTTCGTGATGCAGGAAGACAGTGGTCCTGATGGGGAAATTCACTAACTTTGTCCAACTACTATATCAGCTCCAACAATCTGGTCCTCCCAAACATCAGATTCCCAAAGACAAATGTGTCTGAGACGGGTAGCGAGGTGTCAGCTTGAGCTGAAGTTGGTGTTTCCTGTCTCCCAGACTTGTTTAATGACTCTCCCGCCTCTGCCTCGTTTACTGTGTGACCTTTAACTAGAGCGTGATGAAATGAGGAGGATGGCTAAGGGAGCGACTCGCAGGATGAATATAGTGACATTTGTGGGGGGAAAAACCCTCTTGAGTTCAAGCTAGCGGCAGTAGCCACTAAATACGCAACGTTCTTTTGTCAGGAAAATCGAGGAGTTACTTTTTGTTGCTTCACAGCACACATCTGAGGGAACGTTATCTACAGTGTGGAGTTCTGCGTGGAACAAATGTCTTAAAATCCTGCTCCCGCTGAAGTTCTGACCATTACTGCCTGCCATGCAGGCTGAACGTGAAAATGGTCTACTACCCCTATTTCCTGCATTAGCCACCACTGGGAAATAGACAGAGAAACGCTCCGATTAGAAAGGTTGGTCAGATCTATCATATTGAAAAGGCTCGTGACCCCTTGGCTCGCGACCGGGTAAGGATGTTTTTGATTTAGCATCCAGGAGAGAGCAGAGCACGTCTTGGCAAGTAGAAGCTAACTGTTAGCATTAGAAACTCCACAACTTGGCATAACCCTAACAGGCTTGTGTTATTTTTGAGATGAAACATTAATGTTGCAGAGAAAACAGAGCCAGTGGTATAGTTGTGTTGCTGTTGGCCAATCAGAGGCAAGATGTCAGAATATCAGGGAAGAAGAGATCCTGTCGTGTTCTGCTCCCCACTCTTCTTGCTAACTTCTACTTCCTGAAACAGGATTGCCACTGCCAGAGCTTTTTTCCCACAGAGATCAACTTTCAAGGCATTTGTTTATACTAGAGACCTCAGCTAAAGTATTGAAATAAACTAGTGAACGAGTGTATCTGCTGTCACTAGCTGGCTAGAAAATAACATCCTTCAGTTAAATGAATGTCTGATTGTTGCCTCTGAGAGCATGGCTCCCCTGATTAGTCAACAACTTGGTCATATATCTTCTGCCGTCAAATCAAACTGCAAAATGTGAGCGTTTTTGACCAGTCAGTGTCTCTTGAAGACCACCCAAAAATGAAGTATCGTTAAACCACAAAGGTTGGTGTCAAAACATGAACTTGAAAATGGTTATCCATACTTTTACTGTATCTCCTCCCATCTGAATTACTGTAACACATTTTTCACAGGTTTAAAAAACAAATTGCCCAGTTGGTCCAGAACTCTGCAGCGAGGCTCCTAAATGGAGCAAACGGCAGATCTCACATCACTTTCTGCACTGGTTATCCATTAACCTTAGAGCTCATTTTAGAATCCTGTCTCTAACCTTCAGGGCTCGACATGGTCGAGCTCCTCCTTAAATTACTAACCGGTATGTGCTCCAACCCGAGGCCGAGACCCCAGGTCCACAAACCACATGGGGATAGCGAGTCCCTGGAATTTTCTGCTGCTGGTATTCTGTCTTGTTTGGATTTAATCTGACAAAATATGAGGCAGATTATATTACCAGTCAAACTTTGTTTTCCATATATATTTTTCTCGGTTACAAGGTTTGATGTAGATTAGTTATAAGTGATGGACAATTTCATTACACCCCTTGAACAAAAGGCTGCATGTTGTTTGTTCTTAGCTGAAAGGATTTATTCATCTTTGTCTCGGGGACTTTTCCTACCAGAAAGTTATGATGCTCCTTGTCTTACTGGTAACAAACACCAGTGAGTATGGATGTGCAAGCTCATCATTTTATTTACTCCTGTTCTGATTGATTTCCTGCATAATGGTTGGGAAATGTGTGAGAAGGAACGCAGCGTGTGAAGCCTCTCAGACCGGATCAATGCAGGAGCTTATCCCGAGCTTCACTTAGTGGTCAATTCTCGGAGGAAATACCACAAACAAACTTTTCTTCTTTAGGGATTAGAACATAGCACTATCAGAAAAAGTTGTGCACCCACTCTAAGGCTGTTTTTCCTGAACATCTGTGGTGCAACACATGAAAATCGTTAAACGAAATTTGCTTTTATTTCCAGAATATTCATGATGTTGATTTTAAACGAGCACTTAGAATTACCGTGACCCTCAGAGTGAGAGGCAATGAATCTACCGACCTCCCCCCTCCCCACCCCTACAAAATAACACAATATAACTCTAGGCAGCGGCAGAAATAGAAGTTTTTCTTTAGTGGCTGAGTGGCTGCGGAGAGAGGATATGAATGAGCTGCACCACTTTGTGCTGCAGCCCTGAGGAGGGCCTTGGTCATAGTCCATCACCGCCAGGTCCCAGGGACATCGGCTGAATTAGGAAGCCTCACCAGAGCAGCAATAAACACAGACACTCTAATTCATCTCCCTAACAGGGCCACTGTCTGGCTAGACAGATGTTTCCTGCTTCTGGAGCTCGACATCAATTAGGAGATTAGAAACAGAGTGGCGAATTAGCCGATTCATCACTAATGACCGAGCACAGGGATGGCTAGATAGTTCAAATTGTTGTTAATTGCTTTTTTTTTGGCAGTGTGCTTCAATCCTGCCTCAGAGGGCCACTGGACGAGGCATGCTCTACTTTAAATCCTGTTTTTGTTTGATTCATTTTATTTTATTTTTTATGTAATCTGAGTAATCCTTCAGTCACTCACACTAAAAGCACGGGCTATTTCAGTTTTACGTTCAGACACAATGTTCCCACTCCCTCCTGCATGATCCGGACTTCTGCAGGATGCAGGGGCGGCTTTAGGGTTGATGACGATCCGGAGCTTAGCCCAGATCAGTGATGGAATTTCTAGCACGCGCAAAATAATGTGCTCTTTTTAAAAAAAGCAAAAGGATCTCATTTTTAAATCCTGACCATCATAAAGCAGACAAAATGCACTGGATTACACTCATAAATTAGTATGATAACATCACTGGCACGTATACATTACTGAGGAAGCAAGATCCACAAACCTAAATCATCCCAGTGGGAGTTGTAGCCATATGTCATGATACTTTCTGTCTAAAGAGCTCCGTGTTCACATCAGTCTTCCCATACATGCATCTCAGGCTTCAGGGGAGGCTCAGGCAGGCTATTATCTCTGCTGGTGGATCTCGATACTTCTCACAATTTCCAATACATTTTTTTCTTCTTGTAAGTAAAATTCAGACTTAAGCCCAATCCCAGTACTCACACTTCCACACTCGTGCCCTTCAATTGCAAAAATTGGGTGTGAGGGTGTCCTGATTCTCAAGTGTGGACGCTGATCACGCCCCTTTTGCACCCTTGATCCGCACTTCACCCAAGGCCGCATTAGGCATTACCCACAATTCATTTCTGCGGGAGAAAAGGCTCAAGTGCCTTTTCTGAAAATATATTTTCCTAAAGGAAGAAACAGGAAGTGGGTCAGGAACAATGGGCAGGATTGCATCCACTAGGACGTCCTGAAGGACGGTGGCTGTGATTCTGGAGTAACTCGCGTGTTATTCATGTCAGAAGTGGTGGACAAACCCATTTTCAGATCGTTTCAGATAAACAACAGAGACGCAGCAGAGAAGAAACCTGACCCTGCGAGCTACTGCTAACAACTAATCACACGGCTAAATGCAGAGAAAGCTGGATCCTTAAATAAACAGTCAGCAACATGACATGAATAATACAGTCGACTTTGCTAACTGGTGTCAGTTTAGTTCCGGGGGGGACTAATCACACTTTGCTGCTAACGCAGAAGCTTTGCTCTTCATCAGCCTGTCTGCACTCTGCTGATGAAGACGTGAGTCATTTAGATGTGGGTGAAATTAGCTCTTTTGCTGCTGACCCTGCTTTTGTGGTCTGTGGTTGCCGTGGTAACGTGGAGTTACGTACGTAAAGTTTTAGAGCTTCGACGCGTGGAAGGGTGCGTCATCTCACGACCCCCACACCTGTTGTGATTTCAGGGCGAACCACATCCACTATCAGCCCTACGAGTGTGAAGTGGAGGCTGGAGCAGACGGCTACGAAGAAGGAGACGATGACTACCACAGTGACAGGTGGGATGCTGAAACAGATAATTAACTTAACCTGAAGGTTTTTTGATGTGCTAGCAGCTACGAGTCACTCAGTATACACACTCTAAGTACAAACACAACATGCAAAATATTACTATATTGCATCAAATTGCAGATGATGTCCTTAATTAATAAAGGTAGCCATTATCATCGTCCATATAGAGTCAGATTTCCACATGCAGCTTGTTGCTGACACAATTTCCTTTGATTGCCTCCCTGCTCCTGCTGAGACGTGTCGCATTAATATTGCATTTTGGTCAAATGGGTTGAGGAAATGGGAAAATATACACTTGTCTTGTAAATGGCATCAAAACAACACCAAATAACAATAATCAGAGCCAGAAAATGATTAGAATAACAAACACTTGTAAATTATTTCTGCATATCTTCTCTTTCTGCAACAAATTCAGAATGAAAAGAAAATCCAGCAGCTCTCTGTCCCCTCGTCCAAAGAAAAGGAAGAAGAAGAAGTCAGGCCGTCGAAGGACTCGGTGAGTTTATTTAGCTGTGAAAGCAACAGGTGAGGTGGGAAGCGTCCGGTTTTATTTGGACAAGGTCATCAGGGGGTGAAACTCTGTGAAGAACTCAGCAGCTCCAACATCATGCCACCTCCCTGTCCTCCTCTTCATCAACAGGTTTGTCAGCTCCTCGCCCACGTGCGGAGACAAAAAGAAAAAGGGTGGCAAGAAGCATAAACGAGGCAGGTGAGTTTGTGCCGACTCGTCATCGGTCAACAGTGAGGAAGGATGGACAGTCCTGTTGGAAAGGAGGAGAAAACAGAACATACAGGAAGAAAAATAGCAGAAATAGAAGTTAGAAGACAAAAATTAATAAAGAAGGAATCGTCAAATCTAAAAGAAAGAAAGAAGCATCATGGAGAAGAAGGAGACGAGGACTGAAAGAGAAAGGTCTAGCGAGAGAACATTTCAAGAAAACAGAAATTTCTGGAAATAAAAAAATTTGAATTATCATGAGACGGTGAAAGACGACAGAAAAATGAGAAAATTGGGAAATAAGTACAAAGAAAAGTAAGAGAGACGGAAGAGAGACATTAGGAGACATGAGGAAACTGTGTGAAGCCGTAGGATGCCATAACAGCAATACGCTACCTCCTGACTCCAGGGGTGGGCGGAGCTAAATGAGCTGCTCTAATAACCCAGCTTCTATGGTGGATGTGGGGGGGGGGGGGGGGGGGCGAACAAGAAAAATGACCCTCTCACTAAATAATGCTGAGCTGCTCCACTCTGGTTCCCCACCTCTCGTCCATCCATGCCCACCCCCCACCCCCCACCCTCATCCTCACAGCAGGGATCCTCTGCATTGCAGATGCTGTTGGTACATGAATAATGGATCTGTGTGTGTGTGTGTGTGTGTGTGTGTGTGTGTGTGTGTGTGTGTGTGTGTGTGTGTGTGTGTGTGTGTGTGTGTGTGTGTGTGTGTGTGTGTGTGTGTTCGTGTGAGCGGAGGGGAAAGTTCTCCTCGGAACAAACACCTAAAGGAGTCCCTGGCTGGTTCTCCTCCTGTGAGGACACACATCAGCCACATCTGTTACTCTGACAGCTTTATTACTCCTCTTTCAGCAACTCGACTCACTTCCTGCCCCCCCACCCACCCACCCCACACACACACACACACACACCACCACCACCACCATCACACGCTGTAGGTGTTCACAGCAGCAGGCGGGACGTTCAGGACGATCTCACCAGCCTGTCTAATCACCATGGTTACTGCAGCTAGGGGTAAAACTGATATGAGGGTGACATGAGATCACCAGCCTACTCGTTTCATAGGAACTGACATCTGAATGGCTTTTTCACAAAGAAAAAAGTGGCAGTGGTTTTATTTTGAGCTTCATTCTTGGATCTTTCCTAGAATTTTTTCCCAATAACGAGCCTCGGTAATCCCAGAACCATAGGGAATCTGGGACTATTAGATGGTACTAGGAGTGAGAGACATGGTGCCATGGTGACCCTAATAAGTCTCAAAGAGCAGCTTCAACATTTCTCTTGAGCATTAAACATTTTACTTTACAGTTTAAACATTAAGTCTGATTAATTACAGGAATGTCACATCATTTTATGGATTGTTGGAAACTGGAGAGCAAGCTGCTGGAATTCTTCTACATTGTTCTAATGAATCCATCTTTGCAGGTCCGGCTCAAACTCCAGGAAAAAGAGAAGCTACAGGTGCGTATCCCTTAAAAACCACCCAAGTGTTCCAAAGTGAGTGTCCTGTTTGTCGCCCGTATTCCAGAGACATTCCCACTTCATCACATGGACTTCCCGGTGCGTTTCCTCCACACAGCTTCATTATGTGACTTCTGTTTCAGATCAGGAAGCCCAAAGAACAAACACAAAGACAAGAGCAGACAGAAACAGAGGTGAGATGCATGTTTTATTATAAATGATGTCACTCAGTATTATTATTTAATGAACAGAGGAGAAGAAGAAAATCCCGTTTTTTATTAGATTTACATCCTTAGTTTGTCGTGTCTGTGTAGCGTTAGCATACATTATGTAAATGCACCGTTTATTTTCTGAGCCCATTTAAACAAACCATCCTCATCAGCTGGAACAAGTGGAGTCACTCTGAGTTTCTCATACATGTATTTTAGTGTTTCAGAGTCGGCTGCCAAAGGCTCAAAGAATAGAAAAAGTCCAGGGGTCTCATTCATCAAACATTGCGTAGAATCCTTACTAAAACCGTACGTAAGCTCAGCAAAAAAAAAGTACTTAGCCAAGCAGGTTTGTGATCTATCAAACATGGAGTACGCACAGCTGCACGCAATCTCCGCTTCATAAATCGGAGACTAACGAGAATGTTTCTCAGCTGCATTTTAGTCACATCCCGCCCTCACCACGCCCACTTACTGCCATAAATAGTCAATGCAAAGTGCCTTGTGGACCTCATGCATATACATAAGCCGGCTCGTTGCAGTGCTCCGCCAATGTCGATGGCGACCGTAGATCAAGGCAGATCAAGGAAGTGCAATTTCACAGAAGCAGAAATTGAGGTACCTGTGGGTGAGGTGGAGAAATGAAAGGAAGTGCTTTTGCAAAACAAATAAGAGAAAATCCACAGAGTGGCACAGCGTTGCTGAAGCCGTCAATGTTGTGAATTCTTCAGAGAGATCTGTGGCGGATATTTAAAAAAAGTGACCCGATCAGGATTCGATTCCCAGACTCCCGGGTGAAAGTCATGCATGCTAACCAGTCAGCCAAACGGAGATCTCCCCTGTACAAGTAACCAGGGCGCATGTTCAATCGTCACAGTGACAGGACACACACTGTCACAGACGCATGATGTTCTGTCTCAATCTGTCCCCCTGCTGATTTTCTGCATTCCATATTCTGCGCTTCAGGCTGTGTGTGTGTGAGTGTGTGCGCATGTGTGTATGCGCGCCTGTGTGTGTGTGTGTGTGGGGGGGTCTTGTTCTGTGTGAAAATGAAGCAGTACAAGTGATGATGCTGCAGGATTTCGTAATTTTATCCTTCTCAGCAGCAGCACTGCAGGTGCTCTCCGTGTCCAACATGTACGTAAGCCAGGTCCTTAGTCAACTTACAGTTGCACACATTTTTCCACTACGTTTTCTTTCATAAGTCCCAAAGTTTGCGTGGAAAGTTGCTTACGCAGTTTTCTGACCCTGTTTTGTGTGTAAGCAAGCTTGATAAATGAGGCCTCTGGTTTCCAAACCGGGTCGGTTCTAAGTCTTCCTGGAAGTGTTTAGCTGGGCTTGGCTGGTCTTACATTCTACCGGATGGACAACTGAGCTCACTGTGCTGTGTGTGTGTGTGTGTGTGTGTGTGTGTGTGTGTGTGTGTGTGTGTGTGTGTGTGTGTGTGTGCGTGCGTGCGTGCGTGCGTGTGTGTGTGTGTGTGTGTGTGTGTGTGTGTGTGTGTGTGTGTGTGTGTGTTGTCCTTCAGGTCCCCCGGTGAGATCCCCAGCAAGAGTTCACACCATCAAGGCAGCTGCTGCAGTTCCCGAAGCGCCTCCTTGTCCTCCACTCGGAGCACCTCCAAATCTCCCACCAGGTAGACTACACACACAGAGACACACACACACACAAACACACACGCTTTGGTTTGTCACACTCTTAAATTGCTCTAATGATGGAGCCATTGCCTTGGTGACTGTCAGTCTCTCTCTGTCTCATTTACTCCTGGCCCTCGAGGGACAGATTAGGACACAAATGGGGCTCCTCTGCATGTCTTGTAATAATGCCTCTTAAATGGCTGCGATATCTTTTCTTTGCACTTTGTCAGTCACCGTCTTCCTCCTCTCATGCTGCACTGAACGCCTTGTTCTCCTGCTGGACCCTTTTTCCAGTTTGATCTCACTTTGCAAATCTGTGTGTCCTTCCAGACTAAAATCCAAGCACAAGGCAGAAGGACAGAAGGTGTCCAGGACGTCTCCAGCTCCCAGCAATCCCGCGGCATGGCACAACGGGGACCACACCCAACGGAGCCGGAACGGCAACCCCGGCAGACTTGTACACAGCGAGGGCGACAAAGGGAATGATGTATGTCATCTCCTCTATTTCACTCCCCCTCCCTGGCCCCCCACCCCACCCCCTCTGTTCAGTGGGATCTACCACAGTCTGCAAATCTTCTAACTTCTTCTCTTGTGTTGGTTTACATGAACTCTCATCTTCTAGACACCAAGCGTCAGCTCTTTCCTCCGTTTATTGCGGGCTGTGAGCGAACTCTGATTAGAAACTCGTGATTTTGACTCGTTGAAGACAACCTGTGTCAAACTCGCCGCTGTTTCTTTGACTTCTCCACCATCTTGTTGCTTTTCTTTCTTTTCTGTTAGTTTGTTTGGTTGCTTTCTCAGAGGGAGACGAGAGAAGGTAGCTTCCTAGTTTGTTGTTGATTTTAAAGGACGCATCCGCTGAGTCATTCACTCACAGCTCGCCTCAGATCAGGTGAATAGACTGTGTGTGGGTCGGAAAGTCGGGAAGTTCAAAGCTTCTGGCTTTAAGGAATGTGGAGGAATGTAAGTGAGGGACAGATCTGGCTTGTCTGAATATTTGCTGTGGCATACTTGCTTTAACAGAGTTTCTGATGAAGATGATTCAATAAATTAATAAAAAATCTGAAGAAAGAAAGAACTTTTCCAATTTAAAAATACATTTTTTCTTCCTTTTTGTCCGCCCTCATTTAGATGGACCAGTTCTCACAAGTCCGGAACAAATGCTGCAAAATTTGCGCGTCGCCATGCCGGCATGACGTGTTGATAAGACACACCTTTGTGGTAAAATTGCGCTGATTGGCCGGCTCGGCGTGTCTGGGGTGTGTTTGGTAAAAAGGGCTCTTGTATCCTCCTGCTCTTTTAGATGTAAAGACATTAGAATCCCCAAACTTTAAAATAAAGTTTCTGATAAAAAAAAACACTCCCTACTATGCTAGCTTTTTCATAGGACTCACTAACAGAGCGACTCCCAAATGAATACTTCACATAAGGTAAACAAACAAACAAATAAATAAAAACAGTGATGTAAACATAGGGCTGTATTTACTAATTCATTAACTTTTTGTGAAAATCTGCATCATGAAACAGTCTTCTCACAGTTGTGTATGTTTATGGAACAACATCAGGGGATCAAATCCTTGACCTGAGGGGCGAGCGCTCATACTGCCACCTTCTGGCTAATTTACACTCTGATCTGTTGATTAAAATCGATTTATTTTTCTTTCTTTTTTTTGCAAGAAACAAATCCAAGAATAACTTCCTTTTTGTGCTTTATTAAAAGAATCACATGCCTGAATAATCAGTGTATTTAACCCTTTCATTTTACTTTATTTCTGGTTTAAGAAAGGTTTTAAATGAGATGTTATTGATTTAACCAGCCCGTTAAAATGAGTGTTGCAGATACTCATTTTGATTTTGTGCAGCTGAGCTTTAGAAATAGATTTTTTACATGATGGTAACGAGTTCTGTTTGCTCTTTGAACTGTTTTATTCAAGTATGACTCAGCAAATACTGAAACTGATAACAAGAAACTTTTTAGAGCTCCATATTCTGTTTCTTGCGTGCACAAGCCCCTAACGCTTCAGCTGCTGCTTGTTTGTTTCTGATTCCTGCGAGGATCTCTAAACAGACTCGCTGTAGAGCGACGCAGACGATGATCCCGTAGGGAAAATCTAACAGCGATGACTTTGGTGAACACGCCTCTAAACTCCAAGCTTGCATGTGCCTCTCTGATCCCTGTTTATTCTCTCTGCTTTTTCTGCATTCGTCACTTCATTTTCTTATCAGTTCACCTGGTATTTTCTATAAATAAATAAATGCCCAAATATTTGTCTTGTTTGTATGAAAAGCATTCAAATGTCTTGGAACTGGACCAAGTAGGCTAACTGGGTATGTCTAATTGCTTTGTTTTTATAATTTTTTTCTTGTCAGTTCTATTTATTGATTTAAATTCAACACATGCTCTGCTCAGTGATAGATCCTCTCCTCTTGCAGACTTCCAGCAGCTACACAAGGGGTTAAACAGATGCTCCTTCTTTCTGCTTATTTTTTACTTCAGTGTGCATGCTGCCCCCAGGTGGCGCCGTCCGCTCTGTTCCTGAGGATATTTTTCTGCCTCAAGCCTTTAAGCTAGCACGAAAGCCATGAGAGGAGCAGCATCTAGTCTAGTTTTGGCCTTCCGGCTGAGGCTGAGTGCAGGACGATGAGGTGTGCCGATCGTGTGACGTTGGAAAGTTGTGAGAAGCGGCTCTGGTTCTGGTGGCTGTTCTGTAGCTTAGCGTGGAGTTTCCTGACCCGCCGTGTAGAAACATCCCAGAAAAGCTCAGAGAAACAGCTGTTATTATCATCAGAGCCCTTTCGTCTCTTCTCTTTGTTCCTAGTGAAGAAAAACGGATAATTCCGATGTTTTAGGAAAAAATCCACATTAGCAAAACAATGTCATTATCCTTTTACGTAAATTACATAAATGCTCTTTTTAACGATTAAACCAGGACTCAGCAGTTATGACTGTAGCCCAGGAGTGTGGAAAAAGGTGGCATGCGGGCCATTTGTGGTGCTCTGTGTGGTTTTGTGAGGCCCGTAACTGAGTAGTATAATTTTGACCATCCAGCACAGTTTGTTGAAGCAAATAGAAACTTTCTTATGAAAACAATGCAGGCAAAAAAAATCTTATTTCATAAAGTCTAATTTGTTGGCCCCTGAGTATTTACAACGCAGCAAGTGATGTGTTTTAAAGTTTGGACAAACTGTAGATATATATAAAAAAAATAAACTAAGAGTCTCCATCTTCCTGTAGAATTAAGAAGTGAAGCCATGATGTCTGATGATTGTTGTATTTTAGAACCTGCAAGGAAAGAAGGAAGTGACTCAATAGTAATCAGTAACTTAAATTTTTCGTTTTTCTTTTTAGACAAAAATAGTCAAATTCGTTTACATGGAGGGGGCGGGGCTTAAAACGTGTTCCAGAACCATCCATTAGAGGGACAGTGGTTTGGAATGTAATCAAAGCAAAGCCACAAGAGGGCACCTGTGAGTTAATTTCTGCTCCTGAGATTGAATAATCATCAGACGTTGGTACGGATAAATCTGTTTTTGGGAGATCGTGCTTGCACGATGAGTAACAACACCGTGTTTCCACTAGGAACGTTCTGGGAAGGGAAAGACGTCAGCATGTCCTGGCTGTTGTGGCAGTGAGTGATGTCACGATTTGCACCAACAGGCATCCACGGATATTATTACAAATTGAAGTTTTATTTAGTTAAAGTTTTACTCTGTGGAAGTACGCCGGGATTTAATTGATTCGGAAGTGCGGGAGAACTGTGAGCCATTTTACGGTACTATGTGAGACTACAAAGCGCCGTGAGTTACAAAGTTGGGGGCGGCTTTCCGCTGCATTCTTTGGCGTTGTGAGATTACAAACTGCGACTTTTAAAACTGTGTGAGCGTTGCTTTTTTCCTATTTCGCTTCACCAGCAACTCTTCCAATTGTACAAATGCCAGTTGTTTCAGGATGTCTACTGATGTCATTTCCTGCTGAGTCATGAGTTAACCGCAAGCCCCACCCAGCGACTCCAGCCTTTCAGAGTACACGCTCCTGTTCTGGTCCTGAGAGGGAGGCACACACATGTCACGGAGGTCCGATAGTGGAATTGGGCCTAGAGTACCGAACACAGACTCGTCTAAGCTCGTCTGTGGGAGATGCTTCCCCATGGTGGATGTCCAAAACAGGGACAGTTGTCTTCTGGCTCATTGCTAATGAAAGGACATGAAGTCAGGACAGTAACTGGGGCACCTCACACACTTATGGGCCATTCCCATCTGTACCGGGTCGGCCCGGGCCGGGTAGCGTAGGTTGTTTACATATCTGGGTGGCCTGGTATTTTTCCGGGCCAACCAAGTCTCATTCTTAGCCCTCTTCTCGAGGGGGTCTGCTTCAGGCCGACCAGGGCCAACACACCCACTGCTCTGCAGACAGCAAATTCACACCTTCCATTAGAGCAAGCCTCTGATTGGTGGGTAGAATCAGCCCACATGGGCTTAAGGCAAGGATGTGTGGAATCAACCGGGCCAGGCTGGGGCCGAATGGGGCTACCCGGCCCGGGCCGACCCGGTACAGATGGGAATGGCCCATAAGAGGGACCCCCCCCCCCCCCGCTGTAGTTGTGTTTTTACTGGACCGAGTGGGAGGTTCTGGTTCTGCTGCTGGAGAAGATCCAGACCTAAACATGACTGGGGTCCCTTTCCAATGTGCTGACTCTTTAATCTGTCCATCTTAGCAGTGACTGCTCCTCTCCACCCCCTCCTCCTCCTTCTCCTCCTCTCACCCTTTCTGCCATCCTCCTCTTCTGCTACCTGTTCATCTGTGTCCTGTGTGACTCATGTCTCACTCTCCTGGCAATTTTCTTCCCACGATATCTTTCACATCAGCCAGCTCTGCATGCCTCCCTCCTCCTCTTCCTCCCTCGCTCCACTAACATAGCAATTGACTTTGTCCGTCTCCCTCTACCCCCCCCCCCCCCCTGTTTTGATACAAATATGGCTGCATTTGTACAAGCGAAAAAGACTAAAGCAAATCATGTAGTTTCTAGATTCATTCTTTGTTTCTGATTTTAGTTTGGACTCCGTCTGGATTTTATTTCTCCCCCCTCTTTCCTCTCTTTTTGTTTACTCCCCCTCAGTCTCTGGACTAAAAATGTAGCGTTGATACTAAAAGAGGTCATTGTCTTTTTCCCATTTCGCTGCGGAGAACATTCCTTTCTCCTTTTTCCCCCTTATTTTCTTTCTTTCCTTTTTTTGTTGATCTTGCATACGTGTCACTGGTTGAAATGGAAGGTAGGTAACGCTTTGCCTACGCACGTGATCTTTATGCAGATGAGAATGTGACAAGCACCCTAGCCTGAGTGACGTCAATGTTTCTCTCTTTCTCTCTTTCTGTTGTTTACCAATGGTCTTTAGCCCAAAGTTAATTTAACTCCATCCGTTTATGATTTGACTCTAACGACTGGACCGCACAGAGCTCTGGTTTTTCTCTTGACTCTTTAGCTTCATTCAGAAGTCCACTGTCCCACTCTTATCCTCCAGGTTCATCATCCTTGTTTTCTTTCTGTTTTAGTAGAATGCATTCCTGTTTGTCCAGCATTTCTGTTTGTTGGTGAATTAGAGCATTCGTCTCATGATTTTTCTTCACATTATTGATTTCCTCGACTGTTTTTTTTTATCAGCCTTCGCCAGCAGTGACTCTAGCTCTTGTGAAGAACTGCTCCTCGTTCCTGCAACGAGCAGTTGGTGCTTTTTTCTATCTGTAGTTTACAGAGCTGTTCACACAAACTCGATAATGCATGCAACACGGCTAGCTATCTACTTTGGGGGATTTACCCTCCTGCTCTGTGACCTGCCCAGGATTGAGCAGCATTACTGAACAAGTTCCTAAATCCCACATTTTAAAAGTCACTACAGGTTTGGTTTTAGCTGATTTCTGGATCCATTCTCAGATTTCCTTTAAAAAGACCAAATCTTAAATGTTTTTCTGTCTGCAGTTATGTCAAACACAACAAGAGTCTGCTGCTTTGGTGACTTTTGTTAGTGTGCTAATCAAAGCTAACAATTGTAATTGCTAACAATGATCTTTTCACAAGTGTTTGTCCTGAAACGCGGAGCTCTAAGTCTGGTGCGAAGTAGTAATAATTTTAAGCAGCAGTTTCTTTGTTTAATATTTTAATTTGATCAGTATTAAATTCAGAGCGCGGGAGGCTGGAAAATGTTAAAATATTGGTTAGCTAGCAACATTGGCTCAGAGTTTGATGGGTGTCAATCATCTGCCGTCTCAGCTCCGAATTTAGATTTTCTGGGAGTGGCGAGAGACGTGATGATGGTGTTGGTGGGAACTGCCCTTTGGTCTTCAGTTCAGCTCTTCAGAAACCCATCTGTGACCGCGCGGAGTGTTCATCCATGTCAAACATACAGTCAGTGTGCAAAACTCACCTTGTATCTCCTTTTGTGCTAATGCTAGACAAACAAAACTAAAAAAAAACACTCACTGAGCACTTGGACGTTGATAAAAACAAATCGACAGCAACAAAATTCAAATTTTTTGTGCTCAAAAGTTTCTCACCACTCGTCCACGTCTAGCCGAGACGCTGATCAGCTTTAGCCCTTTGTTTACACCGCTGCCTCCTGGGTATCTGAGAGCGTTGCTAGTATCGGCTCATCCCTCTCAAACGTAGGACCCTTCCCGCTGGCAAAATGTAGGGAAACAAATAAACGTGCTACCCTTTGATCTGCTCCACACTGTTAAAATTCACTATTTCACATAAATACTGCCACCGCTTTGCTTTGTCTGTCTAAATCAAAAATCTAAATTTTAATGCAAATTAGATTGATACAAATTAAGTATAATGATCTCAAATTGCTCTCTTGCTTCCTCGGCACGCATTCCCAGGCCTTGCCATGCGTCAGTGAGACTTGGGAATGTGTCAGGATGCAGAACTGGAAGAAAACACTGTAGCAGCATGAGCTGCACCCCTCAAAAGTCTCCAGGACTCATCACAGACGTGCAGATTTTGGTCTTTTTAATGGATTTAGTGACACTGAGGAACGTTTATATCCCTCTAAATCAGTTATATGTGTCTAAACTGCTAGTTTCATGGTAATGAGGTGCATCTAGGCTGACATTCTAAGGGATCTTGTCTTTTTTTTTTTACCGCGCCGACCCTTGTGAGTGTAAGGAGATGTAGCGAGCACCCGGACAGCACTCTGAGCACAGATTCATGGAGGTTAGAGAATATTCCGAGCTCCCACCAGCCTGTTGCTTTGGGATCTTCAGGAAGGTGACTGGGTCTGGAGGATTTCCTCTCTGTGTGAGGGACTCCCTGCACATTGTGGTTTTTCCTCTTTGCTTTTGAGTTCTTTTCTCTTGATTTCCATGCATTGTCTCATGAGTCACTGGCAGGGAAGGGTTTTGTGTCTTTTTCTCTTGCATTTTGTGAATCTAATGATGCACTTATGTTGCCCCACTTTTCCCTTTTCTTCATACCTTACCTACTAAAGGAGGGAATACCACTTTATTGGTAAGTGGATGTTAACCAGAAGGGAGTTACACAAGAGTAACCTTTAAAAAAAAAAGTAAAAACAAAGAAAATGGGTCGCTGTTCACATCTCAACAAATGTTCTCAGGAAAAAACACAAAGAGAGAATTCAGTAGCAGTCAGTTTGTTTTCTGATTCAACTGATTCAATAATTGTGATCTTTATTTTGTTCCTTCCATTTCTGTGATGTTTTGTCGAGTTGTCTTTTCTTCCTGTTTTGTTTCATTTATTTTATTTACTATTTTTTTAGCCATTACTAAAAAAAATTGAAAGTCCTCTTTTCTACTCTACAAAATCTGTAGCTCTGTACTTTCTGCCTTTGCTCTAAAACTTACTTGGTTCACTTTATTTATTCCTTTTTTTCCCTCTTTTCCTGCTCTTCCTAGTTCTTTGTTTGTTTTTGCGATTTTGATTTCTTCAACTCATTATGGTTTTGCATGCCCAGTATTGCATGCGCTGCACCATAGAGGACTATCTGTAAGCCATATGGAGAAAACTTAGATCTTTTTCTTTTAGATGTTTACGTTTGGAAAATAAACCATAGCTCTTGATCTTAAACCTGGAAACACCCTGATTCCATTTTTTCCCCCCGTTTCTTTTTTGTTTTGTTTTTCTTCTTTTTTTCTGTTTTTGGTCATCATTTTTTCTGCAGAGGCTGCACCTGCTGAATGTTAGCTCTGCCGGCCTCCAATCCACTCTGCTGAGAGACCACAAGCTCCACAGCATCCCCGGAAGGAACCAAACAGGACTGGTGTGCACCGCAGGAGAGGCGGGGAGTGTGGACGGCAAGCTCTCCGCTGTAGGGAGCTCCTTGACTCAGACATCAGGGAGGAGAGGAGCTCAGAGAGGCCAGCGGAGGAGCTCCCGTTCTCCGGCTCAGAGCAGCGATTCAGCCCACTCCCAGCAGAACCACACCAATAGAGCGAGGAGCTCTCGGCACCAGAAGAAGTATGCTGACTGACATGTTCCAAATTAAACTTAGACTTTCTGTACTATAATACTAATAAAAGTGAGTTTCAGAATAATTCTTATGACCAACATGGTGGAACTGGGCTCTTAGGAGCAGTTTTTAGTTCAAACATGTATTAAGTAGGAGTAATCCTGAATCTCGCTGCACCCCAGGTCCAAAGGTGGCCACTCCAAGCGTCACCACCGCTCTGGTCGGGGTCCGGCCCGTCACAGGAACCAGTCCGGGTCTCCGGGTCACCACGCGCACACCTCAGGCAGGAAGAGCGAGGAGCCTCGGAGCAAGGCCGACCTCCGCCAGCGCAGCAGCTCCTGGAGCAGCGGACACTCATCCTCACACTCTGCCTCCAGGGACCGGGGCCCCAGCAAGGTCAAGTCCCCCCACAGCCGACAGAACGTCTCCAGGTGAGGCATCTCGGGGGGAGGGTTATGATGTTGTCGCTGCCATGGCTGACGTGTGTGTGTGTGTGTGTGTGTGTGTGTGTGTGTGTGTGTGTGTGTGTGTGTGTGTGTGTGTGTGTGTGTGTGTGTGTGTGTGTGTGTGTGTGTGTGTGTGTGTGTGTGTGTGTGTGTGTGTGTGTGTGTGTGTGTCACCCAGGGAGAGAGACAGTGCAAACCGCTCCGACACCGACAGCCGAGCTCGCCGCCGCTCACGCAGCTACTCCCCTATCAGGAAGAGAAGAAGGGATTCTCCCAGCTTCATGGAGGCTCGGAGGATCACCAGGTGAGGAGGCGACGTTATTATTATTATTATTGTTATTGTTGTTATTGTTATTGTTGATGTTGTTGTTATTGTTGTTGTTAATGTTGTTGTTGTTGAGTTTTGTTTTTGTGTAATCTAAACTATCTTAATGTTTTTAAAACACATTTATTTGATATATTTTTTTCTAAATTGATCTTTTACATTTTTAAAGGTTAATTCTTGTGGATCAGAAGCTTTTTCAGTCCCATAATTTAAAACAGTGGTTCCTAACCTGGGGGTCCCGACCCCACAAGGGGGCGCCAAAGCCTCTCAGTGGGTTGCCATGACCTCTCCACTTTAAGGGGTTAAAACTTCATTTAATACTTGTTTATAGCCTACATTTTGCTCACAATTTTTTTCATGAGTGAAAAGTTTACTTATTTTAACCCCCAAATTCCACTACCTCCGCTCCGCTCCGCCCCCGCCTTCCGCAGCCGCTCGCTTCCGAACTCAATTTTTACTGGTACCCGCTCTACAACGGCTCCGCTCCGGTGCGGAGACCTGAGGAGCGCAAACAAGCAAGAGCGGGATTTTCGAGATCTTGCGATACAGTCCGAGCAATAAACGCGGAAGTTAGATCCAAACACCCGTTGTGTGGGAGAAGCATCGAAATGAACTGTTTAATCTGCCCATCATTGTGTTGAGACATCAGCAGTGTTTGGATCAACAAAGTGTGACTACTTTGATAGTAGAAACTGTATTTATGGCTTACTTTTGTGCATTTAAAGTTCAGCCGCCATTGATAGTTGTTAAAAGTTGTTAAACCTGTGCATTTGAAACAAAAAAACGCTTTTTGTTTATTGATTCATTGTGAAATAACGGAAGTTGTGCTTGCTCCTTTTCCTGTTGGGCAGTTGTGATTCTTGTCCATTGACTGCGGAGGTGCTCCGGCGTCCGGCAAAATAGGATCGATTCTATTTTTGCCGGACGCCGGAACAGAGGGCGGCGCACTGCGCCACACTGCCGGAGCACGGCCGCAGTAGTGGAATTGCTCTGATTGACTACAACGGGACCGATTTTGCTCCGGCGTTCGTGCCGGAGCGGAGCGGCGGTAGTGGAATTTGGGGGTTATTAAGACAGGAAATAATTAGTACAGAAAAAATAACACACTTTTAAATTTTGCTCAGCTCACTGTTTTATTTTCAAGTGTAAAAAGTTCATTAAAGATAGGACTGGTTGATTAATCACAGCCTTTACAGTAAATAATCTAGTATAAACAGTAATATACACATTTAAGTACATTTTGCTCAGTGTATTTTTTATGTTTCAAACATTTATTGAAAGGAATGATTGATTTATCAGTATTTACAAGAAACATTGTGTTCAGAAAAGTAATACAAACTGTCAAGCACATTTTGTTCTGTTTGGGTTTGTTAATGACTTTGTTCTGTACTGGAGCCTACTATTACTGTTATCTATTGAATCAAAGCATATTAAAATGTGCTTGAATAATTTTATCATTTCTTAATACTGTTTGTACTGGAAGAGAAAATGGGAGGGGGTCGTCAAAAATTTTACTGGTAAAAAAGGGGTCCCTTGGGAAAAAGGTTGGGAACCACTGATTCAAAGATTGATGAATGAGCTCCACATGGTACAGTTCTGCCCCCTGGTGGTAAAAATCGGTTCTGTCACATTATTTATTGAGAACTCTGAATACTTTAGGCTTTTACCAGTGTGGAGCTTTGTGTGTGTGTGTGTGTGTGTGTGTGTGTGTGTGTGTGTGTGTGTGTGTGTGTGTGTGTGTGTGTGTGTGTGTGTGTGTGTGTGTGTGTGTGTGTGTGTGTGTGTGTGTTAATCCTCATCAGATACAGGTGCTGGCCAGTAAATTAGAATATCATCAAAAGGTTGAAAATATTTCAGTAATTCCATTCAAAACGTGAAACTTGTACATTATATTCATGCAATGCACACAGACCAATGTATTTCCAATGTTCATTACATTTAAATTTGATATTCATAAGTGACAACTAATGAAAACTCCAAATTTGGTATCTCAAAAAATTAGAATATTCTGAAAAGGCTGAATATAGAAGACACCTGCTGCCACTCTAATCAGCTGATTTACTCAAAACACCTGCAAAGGCCTTTAAAAGGTCCCTCAGTCTTGTTTTGAAGGCACCACAATCATGGGGAAGACTTCTGACTTAACAGCTGTCCAAAAGACAATCATTGACACCTTGCACAAGGAGGGCAAGACACAAAAGGTGATTGCTAAAGAAGCTGGCTGTTCGCAGAGCTCTGTGTCCAAGCACATTAACAGACAGGCGAAGGGACGGAAAAAATGTGGTAGAAAAAAGTGTACAAGCTCTAGGGATAACCGCACCCTGCAGAGAATTGTGACGACAAACCCATTCAAAAATGTGGGGGAGATCCACAAAGAGTGGACTGCAGCTGGAGTCAGCGCTTCAAGAACCACCACGAGGAGACTCATGAAAGACATGGGATTCAGGTGTCACATTCCGTGTGTCAAGCCACTCTTGAACATGAAACAGCGCAAGAAGCGTCTCGCCTGGGCCAAGGACAAAAAGGACTGGACTGATGCTGAGTGGTCCAAAGTTATGTTTTCTGATGAAAGCAAGTTCTGCATTTCCTTTGGAAATCAAGGACCCAGAGTCTGGAGGAAGAGCGGAGAAGCACAGAATCCACGTTGCATGAGGTCCAGTGTAAAGTTTCCACCGTCAGTGATGGTGTGGGGTGCCATGTCATCTGCCGGTGTTGGCCCACTCTGTTTCCTGAGGTCCAGGGTCAATGCAGCCGTCTACCAGGAAGTTTTAGAGCACTTCATGCTTCCTGCTGCTGACCAACTTTATGGGGATGCAGACTTCACCTTTCAACAGGACTTGGCACCTGCACACAGTGCCAAAACCACCAGCACCTGGTTCAAGGACCATGGTATCCCTGTCCTTGATTGGCCAGCAAACTCGCCTGACCTTAACCCCATAGAAAATCTATGGGGTATTGTGAAGCGGAGGATGCAATACGCTAGACCCAACAATGCAGAGGAGCTGAAGACGACTATCAGAGCAACCTGGGCTCTCATAACACCTGAGCAGTGCCACAGACTGATCGAGTCCATGCCACGCCGCATTACTGCAGTTATTGAGGCAAAAGGAGCCCCGACTAAGTATTGAGTGCTATACATGCACATTCTTTTCATGTTCATTCTTTTCAGTTGGCCAACATTAGAGAAACAAACATTTTTTCATTGGTTGTCACCTATAAATATCAAAATTAAACGTAATAAACATCGGAAATACATTGGTCTGTGTGCATTGCATGAATATAATGTACAAGTTTCACGTTTTGAATGGAATTACTGAAATATTTTCAACCTTTTGATGATATTCTAATTTACTGGCCAGCACCTGTATTCTTGAAGAGGAACAGAGTTCCGAAAGTACAAACATGAGACAAACAAGTACACTTATCATCTTTTGCTCCAGTCCTAAAGGTCCTCACGCTGAGACGACGGGATGCTGCAGGCTAATTACCATGGTAACTGTTGCCGTGCAGCAGGACTCAGCTGATCTGACCCCTGAAGCTCAGCTGAACCATCAGAGCTCCTCTGAGTAAAACCTGATGTCCTGTATTTTTGTCCCCTGTCCTCTCTCTCTGTGTTCCTCTCGTCTGTAACCTCTAACTCTGAAGCTACGCCACACTGAGGTCACGCTCTAATGTAACACGGGAGATGGAAATGCTATTGAGGATCACTAGTTGTCAAAAATTATGTCACTTCCTGTGTGCACAGGGTCTAATAACATTAGTGGATAAACAGGTTGGATAGAGAGAATGCTCATCGCATCATCAGCTGAGTCTATCACTGCCAACTCAGCTCAGATTGTTTAGTTCTGCACGTCCTTCATGGCCGTGGTGTCCCACCCTGGTCCTCGAGGGCCACCATCCTGCAGGAATTTGACTCGATGGGTGACGACAGGTACATTTCCTGCTAAACCAGGTGTGTTTAGAGCAGGAAGGTGGTCATCGATGACTGGGATTTGACACCAACACCATCAGTAATCTACCTATTTACACATACCCTGCTGGTACTACGACAACCATTCCTCACCATAACGCCTGTTAACTGCACTGAAACTCCTCCGTGCGCTTTAACTCCTGCGTCGTTTTTAATCATTTTGGATTTGACTAATAAAGATAAAGTCAGTTAATGTGCCTTGTTAACCTGAGGAAGACCGAACCTTTTGCACATGTACTGATGACATCAGCAGAAGCTGTCTGGATTATCAGATTCAGAACAACCTGAAGGAGACATTATCTCCAGCACAGATACCTTGATAGCATTTCTCCTGCTTCACTTGCTCCTCTGCTGAGAGGAATGGGTTCTTCTGGGAGCTAACAGCTAATTACCTTACAGGAAGCCATTAACAAGCAGCCTGAGCTTAAACTTCAACTAACAACGAGCACCTTCCTGCTGAGCTGGTTTTAACCCACATAGCTGCTCTCTTACAGATACTGTTGTAAAGATGTTTCTGTGACTTAACACCGATCTGCAGATGTTCCAGATCAAAGCATCGTCATGAATCACCTTCCCCATCCCAGCTGCTCACACCTCTGTCTTTCCCATCCAGCGCTCGGAAGAGGCCGATCCCGTACTACCGCCCCAGCCCTTCGTCCTCCAGCTACGACAGCAGCCCGTCCAGGTCCAGCCGCAGCTACAGCAGCTATAGCAGCTACAGCCGGAGCCACAGCCGGAGCCACAGCAGAAGCCGGAGCAGGAACTGGAGCCGGAGTCGCAGTCAGAGCCGGAGTTGGAGCCGCAGCCGCTCCCGCAGCTACGACAGCCACAGCAGCTACGAAAGCCCGGGATTCTGATGAGGGAAGAGCTGCTAAACAACACCACTCTGCTGTTCTGTCACCAAGTCCTCAACGAGTCCCGGTCCAAACTCTTCCACTCTGGACTAGTCATGCTCCCAGCTCAGAGCTTGAAAAAACCAGAAATGTATTTTTCATTTAGCACATCGCCATGGAATTGGTCATCATGTAGAAAAAGTGTTCCAGGAAAACGGCGTTCCCAAAGCAGGAAGCAATTGGTCGAGCCCAAAGATCAAATCTCTCTCTTTCTCTCTCTCTCTCTCTCTCTCTGGAAGTCAGCACTTTCTCTCTCATCTTCCTCCAGGAAACCAAAAACATGTCAACTAAATGCAAACATATAACCATATTTAAATGTATCCTAAAAGTGAAGCCAAGCAGAAGGGAAGAAAGCAAGCAGCTTCATGTACATTTCCATCATCATCATCATCATCATGAACTCATCACTCCAAAGACCATCACAGAGCAGCGATCAACGAGTCAGAACAAAGAGCGAGGTCCACAAAAAGAACTTTTTTATGGTTCAAACTTTACTGTATAGATTTGTGTGAATAGCTGTAAACTGTTGAGTTCTGGCTTTGTAAACTATGCACTGTAAATTCCATTTGGCTCCAGCAGGTTCGTTGGCATGGCGGCGCTCCGAGAAGGAGGGAAAGACGAGGAATGGTGGTGGGGGCTGTGTATTATTTACTGTTACCCCCTCCCCTCAGTGAATGACCACCTCTCTCCGTGTGTGTGTGTGCGTGCATGCATGCATGTGTGTATGAGTGTGTGTGAGTTCTTCGTAGCCTTCTCAACAGGAAAAACTGCAAAAATCCCCCTCCATGCATACCTGTTTCCACCTCAGCTATTTATATGTTTTTATTTATTTGTTTGTTTATTTATTTATTTATTTATGTATTTATTTATTTATTTATTTATTGCCTAAGATTAGATGTTTGAAGACGTGGTTGACGGACATGTTTTTTATTGACTTTCAAGGTCCCAGTTTGATGCTAAAATCGAGACTAGTTTTCATCTCTTCATGCTTTTGTCATCATGATTATTACTATTATTGTTATTAAAGCAGAAATCTGGAGAGGGTGCTCGCTGCAGACCTACAAAGGCGGAGCTGCACCAGAGTCAGCCCCGCCCATTCACGCAAACTCAGTCTAGCCCACTGACTTCCGTTTTTGTTTTTCCAACTTTATCGCAAACTAACCTGACCCACATGAATTACGGCTGTTACTAGTTTACAGTCGTTAATGCTATGTTCTATGCTTCAATTAAACAAGATAAATATAACTTGCTACATGACAAAGCCTGAATATATCTCGAAATGAAAAGGTTTCTTTTAACGAATATCTACCCACAGCCGTTCCAAGAAAAGTGGTGTACAACAGCATCTGTGATTTACGTACGTGCCCTGGTAGTCCAGTGGCGAGATCGCTTAACTTAAGTTTTGCTTTCCCCTCAGCTGGTGCTGGTTCGATTCTCGGTGAGGTCGGCAACAATCCATTTAGCCAGCTGAAACATTTTAATTTGTTTATATTTTAGTTGTAATGTTTATTTTCAGCAAAATATTTATGTCTCTAAAAGTTCTTTGAATTTGGTCGTTCCTAAACAGTATTTTAGTTGAAACTCTGCTCACAAATGGACTCACACTGGCTAAATAAACAAATAAATAAATAAACACATTAGTCATTATATGTTAAACGGTATACCAGTAAATTGTTGTAAACATAGTACTGGCAAGTGTAGCTAGAAATGAGGAAAAGGGGTTGTAAGCTACCTAATATTTCTGCTAGTGGGAGGCGAACCTGCGCAAAACTGCATGTCAACTTGACTCTATAACCACTACACCACCACATCTTAAAAAAGTCAGGTGGCGTTACATTTTATCATCCTATCCGGTGTGTCTTTGTAGATGGTATGTATGATTTTTCCGGCGGTGTCTCAGAAGAAGTCATTTAAGAAATAATTTGTCAGAAAATTCACAGAATATCCAGATTTGAGAACCAAGACCAGACCCTCTTCGGGGGAGGAGACCAAATTGAAGCTGAGATGGGAAGAAAATGCATGAATGAGGCCAAAAATGGCTTTGGCGTGTTTCTTATGAGGAAATGACAATATAACATGATTAAAAGTTCCAAAAGTTTGATTTTTAATTATATGGAACCTTTACAAAAACTGTTCAATTAACTTCTCAACTCCGTCCTCAATTTTTTAGCTATAACACCCTCTTTGGTTCCAGAATGCTATCAAGTCTGACAACTAGAAGGAATTGGACTGACTCTTATGGAATGGGCGGGGCTGATTCTGGAATGGGCGGGGCTGACTCTGGTGCAGCTCCACCTTCTGGTGCAGCTCCGCCTTTGTGGTTCTGCAGCGAGCACCACTTGGAAATCTGGGGTTTTCCTCGAATGGGCACCATCTAGTGGCTGAAAAATGCATTGCACCTTTAATCCATTCCCCTTGGTTGCTTGATGACAGCTGGAAGCGACGTCTCTCGTTTGTTAACCACCTCTAGTTAAAACACACTGTATTACATTTATTATCCTCGTGTTTTATTCTCACACACACATACATTGCCTGGCCAAAAAAAAAAATGCCAACTGGATTTAACTAAGCAAATAGGCATGAGCCTCCTATTGGATAATTACTGCGTGGGTGATCCTCTAAGTTATTTAACCCAACTGGTGCATGAAGCTGCTTCAATATCCATGTGGAAAGACGCATCTGGTGGTCGTGGAAAAGATGTTAGTCTGTGTGAGAAGGGTCAGATCATCGGCATGCATCAAGCAGAATAAATCTAAGGAGATGCAGAAACGACTAAAACTGGGTTACGAGCTGTCCAACGCGTTACTAAAACCTGGTCTGATGAGTCCAGGTGGACCCTGTTCCAGAGTGATGGTGCATCAGAGTAAGAAGAGGGGCAGATGAAGTGATGCATCCATCATGCCTAGTGTCTACTGTACAAGCCTGTGGGGGCAGTGCTCTGATCTGGGGTTGCTGAAGTTGGTCAGGTCTAGGTTCAGCAGCAGGATGTGCTCCAAGAATGAGGTCAGCTGACTACCTGAATCTACAGAATGACCAGGTTATTCCATCTTCCCTGATGGAACGGGCACACTCCAGGATGACAGTGCCAGGATTCATCGGGCTCAGACAGTGAAGGAGTGGTTCAGACAGCATGAGACATCATTTTCACACATGGATTGGCCACAGAGTCCAGACCTTCACCCCGTTGAGATTCTTTGGGATGTGCTGGAGAAGGCTTTGTGCAGCGGTCAGACTACCATCATCAGTGCAGGATCTTGGGAAAACACTGGATGGAAATGAATCTTGTGACTTTGCATAAGTTTATTGAAAAAACGCCACAGCGGATGTGTGCTCTAAAGGAGGTCCAACAAAATTTTAGTGTGTGTGACCTTTTGTTTTGTGGTGACTTATTTTAGGGGCAGCAACAGCTTAGGAGGGAGAGTGGGTTGTCCAGAAGTCAAAAGGTTGCAGGTTCGAGCCCAGATTCAACAAGAGAATACTGCTGTTGTAGAAACTTAAGACGGCGCCATACAAATATGATTTTTTGGCCAGGCGGTGTATGTGTCCAAAAGAAATGTCGCCAACTGCATCTGTCCAGGTACAGTTGTGGTCAGAAGTTTAGATACACTTGTAAAAAATATAATATAATGGCTCTACTGAGTGTCCCGTTATTTCTAAAACTCTGATTTTTCTCTGATAGAGTGATTGGAACAGATACTTCTTTGTCACAAAAAACATTCATGAAGTTCGGTTCTTTAATGTCTTTATTATGGGTTAACAGAGAAAAGTGATCACATTTGCTGGGTCACAAATATACATTCAGCAGTGCTAATATTTGGTTACATGTCCCTTAGCCATTCTCACTTCAATCAGGCGCTTTTGGTAGCCATCCACAAGCTTCTGGTTGAATCTTTGACCACTCCTCTTGACAGAATTGGTGAAGTTCAGTTAAATTTGATGGCTTTCTGACACGGACTTGTTTCGTCAGCACTGTCCACATGTTTTCAATGGGGTTTAAGTCAGGACTTTGGGAAGGCCATTCTAAAACCCTTATTCTAGCCTGATTTAGCCATTCCTTTACCACTTTTGATGTGTGTTTGGGGTCATTGTCCTGTTGGAACACCCAACTGCGCCCAAGACCCAACCTTCGTGCTGATGATTTTAGGTTATGTTGAAGAATGTGAAGGTAATCCTCCTCCTTCATTATCCCATTTACTCTCTGTAAAGCACCAGTTCCATTGGCAGCAAAACAGCCCCACAGCATAATATTCCCACCACCATGCTTGACTGTAGGCATGGTGTTCTTGGGGTTAAAGGACTCACATTTTCTCCTCCAAACATATTGCTGGGCATTGTGGCCCAAAAGCTCGATTTTTGTTTCGTCTGACCACAGAACTTTCCTCCAGAAGGTCTTATCTTTGTCCATGTGATCAGCAGCAAACTTCAGTCGAGCCTTAAGGTGCCGCTTTTGGAGCAAGGGCTTCCTTCTTGCACGGCAGCCTCTCAGTCCATGGAGATGCAAAACACGTTTGACTGTGGACAATGACACCTGTGTTCCAGCAGCTTCTAATTCTTGGCAGATCTGCTTTTTGGTGATTCTTGGTTCACTCTTTACCCTCCTGACCAATTTTCTCTCAGCAGCAGGTGATAGCTTGCGTTTTCTTCCTGATCTTGGCAGTGATGAAACAGTGCCATGCACCTTATACTTACAAACAATTGTTTGCACTGTTGCTCTTGGGACCTGCAGCTGCTTTGAAATGGCCCCAAGTGACTTTCCTGACTTGTTCAAGTCAATAATTCGCTTTTTCAGATCCATGCTGAGCTCCTTTGACTTTCCCATTGTAGCGTTTGTGGGCGTTTGTATCCAATGAGCCCTATTTACCTGGCCTAAGAGAAGTCACCAGCTGTAGTCACTCATAATCACTCACAAGAAGTTAAGAGGCCATGCTATGAAGCTCAGTTCACTGACACGTTTCTAAGTCACTAAAATTGCTAGTTCATGTTGCTGTATGTATATTTGTGACCCAGCAAATGTGATCACTTTTCTCTGTTAACCCATAATAAAGACATTAAAGAACCAAACTTCATGAATGTTTTTTGTGACAAAGAAGTATCTGTTCCAATCATTCTATCAGAGAAAAATCAGAGTTTTAGAAATAACGGGACACTCAGTAGAGCCATTATATTATATTTTTTACAAGTGTATGTAAACTTCTGACCACAACTGTACATCCTGAAATGCTCACACACACACGTGCTGTGATTGACGCCTGTATGTAAGCGGACGTCGCAATAGGCTAATGCTGAGTGGCGTTCAATTCTGGTTGTATGGGTGGGGTGGAGCTTAGCAAAAACATTGATATATTGCCACGTAGACAAGAGTAAGACTATCACTTTTAATTTAAAAAAATCAGGCAGTTGCTGAGAAGGGGGAAAAGTCCGGATCTGTGCTTTAATAAACCCGAGGTCATCTGAGGTTACCGGCATCAGGAGACGCGTTAGAGAACAAAACGATTCTGTAAGACGGCAAACGTCCTTGTGATGTGATCACTGAAGTCTTCCTTTCTATCAGTTTTCCTTCCACTCAGCCTCACATCATGTAACCAGGCGGACTCTAATATCCTACAAACGCCTTCATTTCTCCCAAATATATCAACGTTCCCTTTCGTTCTGAATTTTCTTTGTATTGTGCAAACTATTATACCTGACAATAAACAGATACAAACAAGTGACCAAAACTCTAAAACTGTTTCTTTTCTGTTTTTCCTGAACTGCACCAGTTAGGAGATCCATATCCAACAGCAACGCCCCACACACCCACTGTTTCATTATGTCAGAAGATTAATAGATCCTCCATCCATCCATCCATCCATCCATCCTTAAAACTGGAAAATCCTTTTTATTTCCACTGGTAGATTTTCTGACACCTGAAAATGATCTTCGAATATTCCAGAGGAGTCATGAACATGCTGCTAAAAGATTTAATCTGCGTCTGGTTTAAATCTTTAATCCAATCCCAGCAGACAATTAATTCAGCTTGTTTATAAGGCCTAAATAACCTTTTAATTACCACGGAAACGACAGCACAAAAACCATTTTAGGCTCCATTTTAAACGTTATTTTAATCACTGTTATGTTAATCTCATGTTTTATCTTATTTTATTCTGTGCCTTAATCCCACTACTGAAATAAAAATTCAGCGCATTGGTGGGCTGGAACCAGGTGGAAGTTTCTGGAACAACTTCTCTGAGCTGCAGGCGTGGAAATCTAGACGTCGAACGTTGGAGCGAAACTAAACGTGTAGAAGCAGGATATAGGTCATGAGATCTTCTTCACTCCACATCCTGTCAGCC